TTGATGGATAGAAGCGCAGTGATCTTACTTAATTTATTTCTGCTATGTATATTTTCTGTACCATTTTAGTGTCCGTGCAACGGAAAACTTGCTGGGTCTACAATTATTGTGGTTTACTACGGTAAATACGAATTAACTGTTGATGTTCCATCAAATTCATTTTCTGAAGCTTTATTGTTATTGCTGTTGTTTGGTGAATTTCTTCTTTACCGACTGCTTAAATGGTTGAACTGTGTCAATTTATATTTGAGTTATTTCCTGGCTAAAGCTTTTTTTTTTTGGAGGGTAGGGGGATGACGGTAATGATAAGAGTTAGCAGTGATGATTTAAATAAACTTGTGATTAAACGTTCGGGTCAGTGGAGACATCACTGTCGGAGAATCTAATTAGCATAGTTTTGTCACTTTGTCAAAATAATTTTAGATAAAATGGGGAAAAAAAGAAGAATGAAGTTGAACAAATTCGAGAGGGATATGAGGAGGCCAAATAAGGGATAGAAAAAATGGGTAAAGAAACCTTGAGTTACAGCAGCTGAAAATAGCTCATTGTGATCTGTAGCCATCATCATGAACCAAAAAATTCTGTCAATTGGCGCATAGATAGGCTTCAACGATTTTAAAAATATTTTAACCTCATTACGAAATTAAATTGTCTATGGTTTCCTATAAATCAGCTGTAATACCTTTTTTCTTTTAAATAATTAAAGTTTTTATTTGAGAAAAAATAAAAAGAAGTTTTTTATTTTAATTAAAGATCAATTTTGATGTTGTCGTCGTCGTTGCTGTTCTTGTCGTCGTTGATAATCGACAATTTTTGAAGCTGATAAAGAATGAAAGAGCGAAGGAGGATTTGGGGGGGGGGAGGGGAGAAGAATGTGTTCTGCTAAGTGTATGATGATAATCTGATAATTAGCAATGGAAGCTTTTTTTGTCGAAAATGTATGCGCTTAAATGTTGATTGTTCAGCAATTAAGTTCTGTCAAAGTCAAGTGGAGGCAAAGTAATAATGTTGAAGTTTAAATTTAAGACAAATAATCAGGTGGAAAATCATTAGCATCAACACGAGAAGCAATTTATGATTTGCATTGATGACGGCGATGATGGTAGATTGATAGACGCCAGAATGCGTAGGATTAAAATAGGAAGGAGGTCAGGGCTGAAAATGGGTGACGGGGGTCGGAGACGGGAATCGGGAGGATAACAAGGAAAGAGTATGAAATGAGGAGAGGAAGCAATCATGTAATTGCCTTCTACCTGTCTTTAACGTCACTCTTGTTAAGGTTTATTCACTGAAATCTTTTTTTTGCAGAGATTTCAATTTTAATTTTAGTATGGGCTGTTTGTAATTAAGCTTTTTTCTAATTTTTCACTCAAATATATATGTAATATATTGGAGATATATACACATACACTCAACATTAACTTACTGACTGAATGACTGACTGACTAACTGAGTGACTGGCTAAGTGAAAAAACTGCTTGCTGACTAAAACTATCTTTATTATGTTTTTGGAACTCTTTCTTTTTTTTTCTGTCGGTGAACCAGCTAGGTTTTCTTCTTCCTTTCTAAAAAAAAAGTAAAAACTAATAGCGTTTTGTTGTTATTATTGTTTTTTCCTTCTCTTTAACTAAAAGAGTTTCTTTTCTTGTTTCAGTGATATTAGGGATAAGGAGAAAAGAGAGGTTAGGTCTAATTTTGTGGGATTTCTTATTTGTTTCTTCTTTTTTTTTTTTCAATTTTTAATATAAGTTAGATCTGTCTGGGCAGAACAGAAGTGTTGAGTGTACAGATAGGTTTATGTCTGTATGTGTGTGTGGGTTTGTGTTGTGCAACAAATTAGATTTTTATACATTTGTTTTACGGAAAAAAATACTGCAGTTAGTTTCATTGTACCAAAAGATAGATTAAAATATTTTAAGAACATGTTGCATGCAGTCATAGTGCGGAAAAAATAGGAAGTAAAGAAGTAAAATTGGTGTTTAGAATGTAGCTATTTATTGATAGTCCGATGAGGAAGTTTTGTAGCAGCTATTGGTTTTAGATTTTTTTACTCTTTGTCAGTCTATGAATTGTAGCAAAATTGTTGTCTTTAGTTTTTTTTAAGTGTGAACTAAGTTCGAAAGTTGGGCATCTGGAAAATAAAATAAAAAATAAAAAGGACAAAGAAGCAGTTAAGAGTTGTTTTTTGGACATTAGCATCATTATGCTATTCTTTTTTGCCGTCCGATTTTTGTCATTTAATTCTGTATGATAGTGTTGATTTGAAAAAAATTAGGGAATTTTTGAAAGTACTACTTTATAGAGTTATACGGTCTAAAATGACATTTAATGGCTCAACTGTTACAGCAGAAAAGCCCAGTTGCAGATGGAAGAAGAAAAAAAAAGCAGTCATTCCTTGCAGAGGAAAATTTTAAAATTTTTGCATTTTTTTCTGCAGTTCTTTCCTTCACTTATTAAGTGCAGAAAAATAAGTGAAAGTTTCAAATAACAACTGCTTATATGCTTATTTTTCTTTGCTTGCAAACCTTTTTCAGAGTTGCCCTACTTTTGTATGCGTGAAGATAGTCAGTTACCTGTGCTTTTTTAGCTCTTTTTTAATTTTGTCTTTTCCAGCTTTACAATAAAAAAAGGATCATTAAAAGTTTATCAATTAAAAAAAACGTTTATTTTGTCATTGTTTTTGGCGGTTAGAAATGAAATTTATATGGCTATAAATATTTTTTTATCTTTTTTTTAAATTATATTGTTAGAAAACTAAGTAAAGTGGAAGTTAGCTGAAAATAGAAAGAAAAGTTCAAAGTGATTTGCGTGTATTCATTTAATTGCAAAAAGGTTAATAATGCATTAAGCATTTTTGACTAAAATTTTAACTATTGTGTAATCATTTTTTTTGTTCTATTTTTCTGTTTTATTCTTTCTTTCTCTAAATTTAAACGTTGTCGTTTAACTGATACCGAAGTCGTCTGAGGTTACTGCTACTATTCGTTCAGTTGCTGCTTTAGATGCTGATATTGGTAATCAGAAAGAACCATTATTGTAATTTAATAGTGGTGTTGATAGATCGTAACAAAGCTTTGTCGTGCTCACGTCATTGTTGTCGTCGTCATCTTTTGTTAAGCGCTTTCTTTCCACTTCAAACTTCAGAATGGCAGAGAATACTAACAAAAAATGAAAAAAATAATTTTTTTCCATAAATACAATAAAGAAATA